TGTGGTCGACCAGACCAGATGGGCAGGATATAAATAAAATAAATAAAATAAATAAAATAAATAAAATAAATAAATATTAATGTTAGTTAGGCAAAATATTGGAAGTCTCATAAATCTCTATTAAGAACAGTTCAGGATTTAGAAAAGGAATTTCTAACCAGGAGATAAATAACTCTACGGTGTTATCATTCACATGAGGAAATACTAAATATATTATTCTTTTAAGAATAAAAACAGTGGTCAGTATCTCATTGAACTTTTGCTGAATGGAAGGTCTCATCATCATATTAATGACAGGCTGTGCCACTTATAAAAACGTTGCTATTGGGCAAGTCAAAGATGGGTTTTCATTATGGAGATCATTGCATGCACAAAGTGACACAAATCACATATGACTATGCTGGCAGAAAGTTCTGCCCTTGGGAAGTTCAATGGGAGACATTAATTGTGGAAATATCTATGGCAAAATAAAAATTAGTGTCAGTAAATTTTCATGTTTTGAGGATACTTTAAATACTATATGGCAGCTGATTTAGAGATCAGGATAATGTTCCTAAACAGCATCAACAATATTGTGCTAAAAGTATAAAAAGTTTGTTTATTTGTTTATATTTATTTATTTATTGTTACCCCACCTTACCCCTTTAAAAGGACCCGAGGGGGCTTACATCATTAAAAGACAAAACTGCTGGATTAAAATAAAATATTTAAAGCTAAAAACAATAAATATACAAATACTAACAAGCATCAGACAAATACTACTCTGAGAAATGGTAAGCACAAGCAATAGTAAAAACACATTCAAATCAGAAAGGCATGACAGTCTATTTAAAAATCCACTCTGGCAGCTGGTCACTGAGGGAAAGCTTGCCTGAAGAATTACCCCTGAAGAATTGCCGAGGGGTAATGGCATGTTACAGTTTCTGTTGCTGTTCTTAAGAGATGTTCAGAAAGTTTAAAAGATTGAGAAACTAAGTTTTTGTTGCCCATCTTTTTGTTCTTTCAGGAACTGCATCGGGCAGCAGTTTGCCATGAATGAGATGAAAGTGGCCCTTGCCTTGACCTTATTTCGATTTGAACTTTTGCCTGATTCTTCAAAGCCCCCACCCATTCCCATCCCACAGATTGTCATGCGTTCTGAGAATGGGATATACCTTTGTTTGAAGAAACTGATGTGAATCAAACTGTCTGATGGAAAAAGGAAGAACTTCATATACTGTGTGATGTGATTGGTTTGGTGCCTCAATAAAATGATCTGAGAACAAATATTTTTTGTTATCGAATGATAGTATGCAAGGAATGCTTTGGGAGTAGCTTTGTTGGAGCATTTAAAATGAAGTGGGGGAGGACAGCTGAACAATCAAACAATCTGAAATCAAGACCTCTATGCTCTCTTTCCTCTGTTTACCCTTGTTTTTTCTGTGTTTTTCATTTATCTCAACATTCCTTTCATAGTTTCTGATACAGGAACAAGGTACCCACAAGTAGGTACATTTGTACAGAAATGCAATTCTAACTGGCATGACTGTGGAATAGGTAGCTAAGTGCCAAGCTTCAGCCAGAAGTGACCCTCCCATGAGGCAGATTGAGGTTACCACCTTAGGTAGCAGATGTAGAGCATTGAAGCAGAGATCTGTCCACTGAACAGCTTGATAGACCTGCTGGTACTAAGTAGTAGCCTGAAGGCAAGGCCAAGAGAAGCTTTAGAATCCAATGCAATAGAGAAGCAAAGAAGTCCAAAGGTCCAGGCAGTTAAGGACCAAGACCACCAAAGGTTTCAGCATGCAATACTAGGTTTCAGAAAAAGGAGTGGTCAAAGATACTCCTAGGAGGTTTCTTAGAGGAGCTTGATCCAAAGGAAAGCTAGATAGGCAAGATATGTTGAGTCAAAAGCTAACTAGAGATGTTGTTCCAGCAGCTCTTCCAGCCTCAAAATTAAGCAACATGGCATCACCCCAATGAAGAGTCAGTTGTAGCTCACGGAAGTATTCTGGCAGAAGTCCTCTTTGTGAAGAAAATGGCTATACCTGAAAAGCCCTTTATGCATGTGGGTTTTTTGGGGGGGGGCAGATGGGGACCTTTCCTGAGTGTGAAAACTCTGGCACCTCTTCAAGCATTGTTTACTCAGGGGGACTCTGCAGTCATTCCATCTTTGCGTGCTCCTTAAAGAGGTTGAATTGGGTGACCAGCTTTCAAGTCCTCCAGGATTCTTATACAGCTTCAGCATTAGAAAATGTGGGATGAAGTGGAGTAGAGTGGAAGAAAGTAGTAAATAAACAAACAAACAACAACAACATGGTAAGTGTAGAATATGAAATTAGACCGAATTCCAGAGGCTGCAAGTTTGAAGAATCAGTTGTCTTTCTCCATCTCTGTGAGAAAGGACTTGCAAACACAGAGAAAACAGCTTGTTGCCTTTATTTGAAGCACGTGGCCTCTGTGTTGGCTTGGGCAGAAACACTGGGGAACATGGCATCCTAGTATCAGTAAAGCTGCCAGATGATGCTCAAACATGCTCTTTTCTAATGCTTAAGATACAATTACAAAGGCTGTATTTGCAACCAACAATGCAAGAGTATTTCCCCCTCTGTGGAAAAAAGAAATTAAAGTGGTATTTTTAGTGTAGAAATCACCAGGTACAAAAGAATGAAGACCATCCTTCCTTTGCTGGATATCGACTTCTGCAATGGAGCGGTGTGTGTAGTGTACCTTGAAACTCAGTCTGTTCCTTTTCTCTCCTTCTGAATGATAATACCACACTGCTTGTGTGCCTAAAACACTTCAGGAAGGAGATGTGCATGCAACAAAAGGGTTCGGTTAACAGTTGGGTACTATAGCTGCTGACAGGCAAAACTAGAAAGTTATCCATAGTGTGTGATCTTGTGCTTGTAGTGCATGCAAATACTTGTAAATGGATCAAATGGATCAAAAACCACAATAGAATGGAAGCATACACCATGGATAATGTTTTAATCTTTGGCACATAGTTTACTATTAATCTATATTTGCCTCAATTGAACATTGGTTGAGAGGGAGTCAGATGCTGATCCTATAAATACTTCTTAGTGTATTTAGTGCGGTGGGTACCCACTACATCATATTATATCACCGGTGAATTGTAGCTCTGTTTGCCTTTCTGTGTACCCCTCCTCTTTGTTTTGGTTGCTTATTCACAACTGGTTTGAGGAATGGTTGACGGGCTGCACCCAAGGAGTGCCAGCCGATGGTTCCTTGTCATCCTGGAGAGAAAGGATTAGTGGGGCGCCACAGAGTTTTGTCCTGGCCCAGTGTTGTTCAACATCTATTAAAATGACTTGGATGAGACTGGGGAACTCATCAAATATGCAGATTAGACTGGGAGAGGTAACTAGTACTTCAAAAATAAGAATCAGAATTCAAGATGACATACATAGATTAGAAAACTCAACCAAAAAATAAAATAACATGGACACACAAACACAAACAAAGGAAAAGCAAATGCAAAAGCAAGCAAACCACAGTGAGTTTCAAGAGGGGAAACATTAAGTTCTACAATCAGTCAGCAAGAAATAGATGCACAGACATAAGATGGAAAGCAGCTGATTTAGCACTACTACTACTACTACTACTTATTTAACTAACTAACTAACTAACTATCTAACTAACTAACTAACTAACTATCTAACTAACTAACTAACTAACTATCTAACTAACTAACTAACTAACTATCTAACTAACTAACTAACTAACTAATATGCCGCCCACATTACCCAAAGGTTTCTGGGTAGCTTACAACAATTAAAATGCAATAAAGATAGGACAATTAAAATATATACTCTAAAAATTGCTATCAGGATCCACAGTTGATATTATTTCAATTAGAAGCCTTCTGGAACAGGAAGGTTTTGACCTGGCGCTGAAATGCCATCAGCATCGGCGCCAGACAAATCTCAGTCGGAATGGCATTCCATAGTCTGGGGGGCAGCTGCCGAAAAGGTCCTTTGTCTATAAGCCATCCCTTTTACCTCCTTGAGGGGTGGCTCTTTCAAAAGGGCCCCCTGGCTAGATCTTAACTGTCGAGTAGGTTCATATGGAAGGAGGTGGTCCTTCAGGTATCCAGGGCTCAAGCCGTTTGACTATGAGTCAAACTAAATCTTAAGAGACTGCAAATGAAGCATGAGTCAACAGTACGATGTGGAGCAAAAAAAGCATATGCAATCCTAGGCTGCATCAACAGAAACATAGTGTTCAGGTCAAGGGAAGTCATATCATTCTATCTTGGTTTGATCAAATCTCACCTGAAATATTGCATCCAGTTCTGGACATTACAGTTTAAGATGTATATTGTACTGTATATTGACAAGTTGGAATGTGTCCAGAGGAGGGCAACCAAGATGGTAAAAAGGATGAAAACCAGGCCCTGCAAGGAATGGTTGAGAGAGCAAGATATGTTCAACATAGAGAACAGAAGACTGAGAGACAATATGATAGCCATCTTGAACTTCCCAAAGGACTGTCATCTGGGAGATGCAACAAGCTAATTTTCTGTAATTCCAGATAGTCTGACCCAACATCATTGATTTAAATTATGAGAAAGGAGATTTCACCTGAACTGTAAGAACTTCTTGAAAGAACTGTTTGACTATGGAATGGACTATCTTGATAGGTGGTGGACTCTTCTACAGTTCTACATATTTTATGGACTTGGGTAGATAGCTAGCAGGCTGGATCGGGTTAGCTAGGATCACTTAAGACCACATAAAGGTGTGACATGACATTTGGTGTGATCCTTACTCCACATGGCATATGCACCTCAAGCAACCTTGTTTGGCCCGCTCTTGAAAGGTAAAGAAAGGGAAAAAACCCTCCTTGCCTCCTCCTGTTTCTTCCTTCTTTGGGAAAAATCTTTCATTTTTTTCTCCCTTTCTAAAAGGTACAATACATCAGCACAGTCCTAATAGGCTTACAAACAAACAAACAAACAAAAAACAACCTTCAATTCCTCCCTGTCCCCCTCCACAGATGATCAGAGAAATTTTTAAACCTCCCAATATCATTAAATAGCTAAGCTGCCTGCTTAAGAACTTAATATTGAGAAATTGAAAGTGGATGGGAAATTGAAAGCAACAAGCTCCTATGTGATCTGATCCTCACGACTGCACAAAATGGAGCAACTCTACCTGCACCTAAAAGAGAAAAGTCTCTGAAAGGGAGACAAAAGGTGCTGCTAGGAATACAGTGGTGTCCAACCTTGGACCTCCAGATGTTCTTGGACTTCAAATCCCAGAAATACTGGCCAGCAGAGGTGGTGGTGAAGGCTTCTGGGAGCTGTAGTCTAAGAACATCTGGAGGGCCAAGGTTGGACACCACCACTTACAATGTGTTGTCACAATGTATAGGAGCAAACCAGCCCACCCCCAGCGTAAACCAAACAGCAGGACAAATGCATGTCTAATTGCACCCTAAGACACATGTAAATGGCAGCTTTGCAATTTGAAGCAGAACTCATCTGTAAAGTAAAAGATGTGTGGTGACCTTCCAGCATTCTTTCAGACTTTCACAAGTTGCAAATTAACTTGCTTTTGTTTAGTGGTTTCTCATTGGAAGCACACAGTGAGATTCAATTTGCATGCTGATTCTGCAGACACAGCAGCTTTGAAGAATGTCTGGGGGAAGATTTTTTTTTTAAGCTGTTAATCCTCCTTTTTTGCAACTTCTTGTCTGTTTTCATCTTCTGAAACTATCCTTTGCCACGGGTGAAAGAGAGTATGAGACACTTTGTCTTCTATATTCCTTCTTTCACAATGTTCCAAACAAAAGTCTGGAATGGAATGTCTTTGAATCCCTCTCAGACCATGAGATAACAGTTTCATTAAATTAGAATAGTGAAACACTCTTTTGCTATCTAATATGCAAATAGAGAAGGCATTTTCAATAAACTGTGCTGGCTTACAACTTAATTAACGCTGATCCATTGAATCAACTCTTACACTTCTGTTAATATANAACGTTCTTAAATCGAAGCACCATTTCCCATAGGAATGCATTGAAAATCATTTAATCCATATCTGCTGTTTTTTGTTCTTAAGTCAAGGATGTTCTTCTCATAATAGAGGACTGGAATGCTAAAGCAGGGAGTCAAGAGATAAAAGGAATAACAGGGATGTTTGGCCTTGGAGTTCAAAACGAAGCAGGGCAAAGGCTAATAGAAAACAAGAAGACAAGCTGGTCATCACAAACACTCTTTTCCAACAACACAAGAGGTGAGTCTAAACATGGAGATCACC